GTTCTCCCACTGTTGAATGAGAACATATCCGGTGTTTGGGTTTTCTATTTCTTTTTTTTTTTTTTTTTTTTTTTTTTGATTTTTTTGACGGAGTCTTTGCTCTGTCAACCGCAGGCTGGATTGCAGTGGCACCGAACTTTCGGCTCACTACAAGCTCGCGACTGCCGGGTGGGGTTTACACCATTCTCCTGCCTCAGACCTCCCGAGTAGCTGGGACTACAGGGCGCCGCACCTCGCCCGGCTAGTTTTTTGTAACTTTAGTAGAGACGGGAGTTCACCGTGTATAGCAGTATTGTCCAATTTCCTGACCTTGTGATCCGGCCCTCGTCTCGGCCTCCCAAAGTGCTATTCCCAGTGAGCCACGTGCCCGGCCCTGGTTTTCTATTCTTGTGATAGTTGCTGAGAAATGTTGGTTTCCAGGCTGCACCATTGTCCTCAAAAGGCTTAACTCATCTTTTTAATGGTCTGATAGTAATTCCATTGGTTATATGTGCCACATTTTCTTAATACGTCTGTCATTGATGGATTTTGGGTTGGCTCCAAGTCTTTGCTATTGCGAATAGTGCTGCAGTAAACATACATGTGCAGATGTCTTTTACAGCAGCATGACTTATTAATCCTTTGGGTATAATTCCCAGTAATGGGATGGCTGGGTCAAGTGGTATTTCCAGTTCTAGATCCTTGAGGGATCGCCACACTGTCTTCTTATACGAAAAAATATCGATACTGTAGGCATGGGAGATCCCATCTGTCAATTCTGACACTGTCTACCTGGAGATGGCATTAGATCCCACCGGTTGAGGGCTCCATCCCACAAGACTGCCCACTACTTCTGATACCAGTTGTAAGCTCCATATTGTTTTACTTGTGCTTCTGACCAGTCAACAATACATTGGGCTTCCCAAAACCCTCTCAGTGGGTTTGATTTATTTGCTAAAGTAGCTCACAGAACTCAGGGAAATACATTTACTGGTTTATTATAAAATATATTACAAAGGTTACAGATAAAGGGATGCATAGGGTGAGTTATGGGGGAAGGCACATGGTGTTTCCATGCTCTCTCTGGGTATGGCACCCTCCAGGAACCTCCATGCATTTAGCTATCCAGAAGCTCCCTGAAGCCAGCTGTTCTGGGTTTTTATGGAAGCTTCATTGTGTAAGCATGATTGATTAAATCATTGGCCATGAGTGATCAACTTGACCTTCAACCTCTCACCCCTTCCCAGAGGTTTGGGGGTGAGGTTGAAAGTCCCAACCCTCTAATGATGCTTTGGTCTTTCCAGTGACCAGCCCCCATCCTGAAGTTACCCAGGGCCCGCCAGTCACCAGTCAACTCAATAGTATACATAAAGACACTGATGACTTTGGAGGTTCCAAGGATTTTAGGAGTTGTATGACAGGAGACAGGAACAAAAACCAAATATATATTTCACAATATCCCATAAAGCCTCAGAGGAATTGGAAAAGAAATTCTGATCCATGCTACAATATGAATAAACCTTGAAAATATTATGCTAAATGAAAGAAGCCAGACACAAAAGGACAAATATTGTATGACTCCTTTTTTTTTTTTTTCTCTTAAGAGGGAGTCTCGCTCTGTCGCCCAGGCTGTAGTGCAGTGGTGTGATCTCGGCTCACTGCAAGCTCTACCTCGCAGATTCAGGCCATTCTCCTGCCTCAGCCTCCTGAGTAGCTGGGACTACAGGTGTCTGCCACCACGCCTGGCTAATTTTTTGTATTTTTAGTAGAGATGGGGTTTCACCGTGTTAGCCAGGATGGTCTCGATCTCCTGACCTCATGATCCACCTGCCTCGGTCTCTCAAAGTTCTGGGATTACAGGCGTGAGCCACCACACCCAGTCCCGTATGACTCCTTTTATATAAGGTACCTAGAATAGTCAAA